GAAATAGTTCAAACATTGGAAAACAGTTAAAAATTTTACCCACCAGCGCATAAATGCTGAATTCGAAACCTTGAAGGGTGAATATCTTCTCGTGATTCCCGAGCTAATGGTTTACTCGCCAAAATTTTCATGAGGCCGTAGGTGATACTCAAGAGCGCGGGAACGCTGAATTTGAATGGGCAAGCTTGAGCGTGAGCAGGGGGTCATTACCCTAAAATTTCGGACTCCAACACTCCGTTGTTCCTGAGACATTAATTTACCCGTAAAAAACTTTCGCGGGGCCTAGCTTTTGTGGTTCCCGAGTTGAAAGTGCGTGACAAAATGTGGGACACACACAAACACACACAGACAACCCCGTGAAAATACGCGTTTTGTAATGCTGTTACACAGCACAAAACGCATAATAAATCTGAAAAGGAATGTTTCAGCCCATTAAGTCGTATACACTCCTATTTAGTACTACAATGGTACTTCCCATTACGACAGTTGTGGTAGTAGTAGTATTTAACGGAAAAAAAATTGAATAAAATGGAAGCAGAAATGAAAAGTATAAAAAGCGAAAGTTTTTAGAAAAATAAAAGAAACGTATCGAAATGTGATTATTGTCTTTCGGTGACCTCTAATTTTATTGACCTGTCTTTATGCTTTGCTTTGTTTGGGTATTTTTTTTCTTGCATTCTTTTCTCAGCTCTTTTTGCCGTGTATTACTGCCAAAATACCCGAAATCATTTAGTTTCTTGCTAAACTAGATTAGTTTACTTTTTAAACTATGTAGTCAAAGTAAAATGAAAATAACTGAATATTCTTCAAAGATGTGACGCATATGCATCGGGCGAATGTTCACTTCAAACTTTATAGATGTGCTCTGAACTACTGGGTCTGACAGAGAATTTAAGTAACATCAATAAATCAGGTTTCCTGCACTAATTGTCGGGGATTCTTGATGAATTAAATCATATTTCATTGTTTTACTTAATTACGGATGCCAGTGTAAAATAAGTGTAGTTTTTGTTTTTTTCTATTTTAAAACTTGCAGCTTACTTTATCGTTTTTTTAATTTAATTTTTCAATACTTTTTTTTACATTTCCTAAGCTCGATTTTTCTTCTGTTGAACTTAATTTTTTTTGATCGAGTTTGATTTGCAGGTGAAACTGTGCAGCCCTCTCGACTTACTGGAGCAAAAAAAGAGCATACTGTGCTGGTTACTGGTACCATAGCGAAACGAGTGAAACTGAGGCCCAGTGTGCTGCGCGATCTTGCCGAGGAGCAACTCATTCTTCCTCAGCCAATCGCCGAGAACAAGTAAAAAATTTGTTTCGCATGCAGCTGCTTCATTCTTCATGCTCAGTTTGCAAGTTGAAGATTCTGCTTAAGTTTCTTTTGTGTTTTGCCAATTTTGACGCAGGTTAATAGGAGAGGAGGACTATCTGGAATTTGAGGACGACGTGCAAATCGTGCGTCTTGCTGGTGCAGTCAAAATGGATGACATGGCAACGGGATGCGTTGTTGGCCTGTATGGAAAGCAACTTGATGATGATATTTTTGAAGTGAATCGTGTAATATGGCCATGCAAAGCACCACAACCACCTTATCCAGCATTCGATGATGACAGGTATCCGTGAATGCGTTACTCTTTTTCTAACACTGTTCAGCTAGACTTTCTCGCCGTTCACTTCTGTCTTAAGGTATGTCATGTTCGTCTCGGGCTTCTCATTCACCGGCCAAACCGAGAAAGATGCCCAGAAACTAGTCGCCCTTGATTTGCTACAGAAGTGGCTCTGCGGTTCGTTATCAGTATCACCAAAGGTACGAAAAGATCCTATATGCAATGCAAATGTGTCCATTTAGACAATCTTAATCGCCGGCACTTAGGCACTGCTAAATTTTCAGGAACGTGGCATTGTGGAAAGACTGGTTCGGCTGGTTGTTGCTGGCGAAAGCGTTGCTATCACGGATCAAGTAATAGTTCTATTATAAACTGTTGTGCATCGTTTTAGTCTCTTATTTGTAGTTCTGTAGCGTCTTTTCCATTAAAATTCTCCATTGGACTAAGTTCTTTTTTATTGTGCTGTACACTGTTTTTGGAGATATTTCATTTTAGGGCAGAGAATTTACAACGGCGGCACGATATCTGATAAAAAACGAAGAATGTCCGAACGTCGAATGCGCCGCTCATATGGATAAATTTTTGTCGAAGATTTCTGTAAGTTGTTGTCAGAAATACCTAGTGTTTTCGTAATGAAAATGCACTATAAGCTTACTATTCTGGCGTAAATTTTTGTAAAGCATACTTTGCAGAGTATGCTCGAAGTTGATGTGATGCCAGGACTGGGAGACCCTTCAACTCACTTGATGCCTCAACAGCCAATTCATCGTGCTGTGTTTCCGAAAAGTTCACAGCACGGGAAGATGCTGAATCTCGTCACAAATCCCTATCATTTCAGCTTGGACGGTGTTCACATAATGGGAACCTCTGGTAAGTTGCAGTTCGTGATTGCGCACTGATGGCAGCTATAAGTAAAGTGCTGCAGTGAAGCGCTGCAGCATTGAAGTGTAGTGCTGGACAACAGTGGAGCGCACTGAAGCAGCGCTGAAGCGCTGCAGTGATGTGCTGCACCGTTCTAGCCTCATGTAACATTTCAGTGGACCAGTCTCTTAACATTTCAAGCCCGTCGCATTTTGGCATTTCAAACCATTAGCCCCGCTGTATTTACGCACATCATTTTGGTAAATCAGATTGAACTTGTTACGCGTTATCAAAATGGATGAGTTCGATTCTTGTAGGTGAAAGTCTGTCAGACTTGAGACGATTCGCAAAAGAAGCAAACAGTGTGGATTTGTTAAGGAAAATTCTTGACTGGCAGCACCTGGCTCCGACAGTCCCCGACACAATCGACGGCTTCCCGTTTGCGGAACGAGACCCCTTTATAATTGAAACCTTCCCCCATATACTGTTTGCGGCTAATCAGTCGGAAGTGTCGCATGCTATTGCTGATTTCGAAGATGGCAGATGCACACTGCTACTATCCGTGCCAAGTTTTACCAAGTCCTCTTCGGTGGTGCTTGTAAATTTGCGTACGTTGGAAGTGATCGAACATAAGTTCTCTGTTGACAAGCTCGTCTGTGATTCATAGGTGCCTGATTTTAGTGTACTAAATCAGTTTTTTGCACTTTTCTTTAGCTGTTTTCAAACCCTTTTCTGAAATTTCATTGTACAGGCTTTCAATTCTGCGTGCATGCTAAATCTGAGTCAGATGATAGGGTGGTTGCAGCTTCTGGATTCACTCAACCAGCCCAGATTTGTAGTCCTCAACCTCGGGGCGGTCAAGGGAACAGTCTTAGTACTCGTCGCTCATCCTCCGACTAACGACGAGGAACGAAAACACAGCATTATAATTTTTGCCGCAAGCATCCGAGTCCACACAACCTGTGATGCACATTTGTGCATTGTTAATTCATTCCATGCACCTCCGTATCGTCACGAGAACACAGTTCTCATCACGCGTAACCTATCGCAAAAATAGCACTGAGCACGGTGCCTCAGCTCCCTACTTGAGCACTCTCAGGAAAAATGGCGATGTCGGCGAGGGCGAAGAGGAGAATCAAGGAGGAGAGTCTAACCAACTGTGATATGCGCGAGCAAAACGATTACGGAATAATGGCAGCCAGGACGTACTCCCTTGCCCGGCGAAAAACTTTGAAAAAGCTTCGTTTTTGTCACCTTGTTCGAAATGGCAAACTCCCATTTCGGCTATTCTCGTTGAACAATACAGGCATCTCGCCTGGGAGAGTGCTTTATTCTAGGGACAGTGCATTGTTAAGGTACTTTATTTCAAGAACAAGAAAACGAAGTGCTACGAGGAAAAAGTAATTGAACAGGAATATATCATGTGCTTAAAAATTATTCCAAATAAGAATGTGATAGAGAGTATGATGTGTTACGGTTGAATTACAGAATACAATGCAGTAAAGTATCGATCTGTGCAAAACGTTAGAAACGAATCAAATGGTAAGATAAAAAGTGAAATAAAAAGGCAAACTTTCGATTAAATGCCACCCACGGGTACGGAGAGAAGGTGAACCAACGAAATCAGTGAGTTTCTAACGGATCACAGGAAGATTATCTAATCGCTGAAAAACTCACCGTGCAGCTGCTGAATAGGTTTGTACGGCTCGGAATAGAGCCTTCTGATGAAATTAAAATGTCCCCGGGTATATTTTGCACGCTGGCTCCGGAAGACACCACGCCAGCAAGTACCACGAAGACGCAGCAAGCTTCTCAAAATATCCACTTTGAGAAAAATGATAATTCACAACGGAGAGGTTCGGAATGTCAGTTACTCACAACAACGTGCAACTGGCTACCAATTATCCATCCCAATTCTTATCACACATTCGTTTGTCATTAAAACTGGCAAAATCAACCTGACAGCGGATAGTCTCGTAGAACAGGAATATTTCAGAAAGGAGTGCGCGAATAAGGAGTACTAAAGCTTAACAGTGTTTGCGGGAAATAAACCCTGCCCTCGGCTCTCCAGCTTTTTAAACAAGAGTCTTAGGCGGCGAAACGCTTGATGAATTCATCGGGAAGGAAAAAGTGATCCTTTGTCACGTCGGTTTTACGAAACGTAATTGTTTGGGTCGTCGGACAATACTCAACTATAATTTCGGTCAGTTCTGGAACTTTCTGAAGTTCACTCTTAACTCGCATTAGCACCGCGTGGATGAAATCCAACATCTCATCGCCCTTCCAATAATGTCTGCCAAGAGCAGGCAATTCATCGACACGCAGGGTTTCGATCTCTTCGACGATTCCTGAAAAATGGTAAAGCCTGAAGAGCTGCTCCTCCACCTCAAGTTATTTGCAGTAAGGATGGGTCTCAGATCACACAAGAGAAAGAAACTGGACATGGCACATGTGAAAACTTCAGATATTCCTGTTTCTTTTACATGTCAAAATCCCCGTCAATTGCGCAACTACGCAGCAACTTTGTTACTGAGTCATGCGACGTACAACCAATGCTTACTAACACCATTTAAAAACCCAAGCAGCGATGCGTTGGCACGATTTTGCGCTTTTGTACGATTCCATTCTGTAAAAAGATCGCCTGTATTGTTGGAGTACGACTATGACTATGCAGCTTGAAAATTTGATGAAACTGTACGTAGAGCCTGTGCCTAAACAATATCTCATATTATGCACGTGGCCCGCATATGAACAGCACACATCCATAGAAAAATACTCATTCCTTTCTACTTACCAGGACAAATATTGGATGCTGGCAGTATTCCGAAATAAGCATTCACCTGCGCTCATCAAATGTTCTAAAGCTAAATGTTCAAATTTGATTTTCCCGTGTATGTAACGCAGGCGTATATTAAAAGTTGAAACTGAAGTCTTTACCCTAAGCAATAACATAGAACATATCTACAAAATTTTGCCTACCTTCTCCAGCTCCAGAAATCGATTCCCGCCAAAATTCACATGTTTTT